CTGACTAAAGCAGTTCCAACTCTCCCAAAGTTCTTCCTTATTATTAGGTTGCACAGTATAAAATTGCCCTTTGTAGGTCAAAGTGATCAAATTATGAATATTTTTTTGGCTGGGCTTATTGACTCATGCCTGTAATCCCAGCACTTTGGAAGGTAAAGGTGGAAGGATCGCTTGAGGCAACATGGTGACATCCCATCTCTAGAAAGAAAAAAAAATTAGGGAGGCATGGTGGCACACAACTGTAGTCACAGCTACGTGGGAGGCTGAGAAGCAGGGATCACTTTAGCCCAGGAGTTTGAGGCTACAGTGAGCTATGATTGTGCCAGTGTACTCCAGCCTGGGTGACAGAGAGAGACCCTGTCTAAAATGATAATTAATAATCATAATATCTAATAAAATGGCCACAAATCTGCCTTTCTGTTATTTTCTCTCAGTTTAGTTCAATGTCCATTCTCTCCTTTTCCTATATGATAGCCCTTTAGAAATAATGCAGAATCAATAGTGAACATGATAGACCTACTCCTGCCTTCATTGAGGCTTACATGCTCACCAAAGAAACAACAAGGAAATAAGCTGTCTCTGAGATATCCTCCTGTCTAAAGGAAGTGAAAGAAGAACATTTGAAGCAAATGCTTTTGTGGAGGGAATTCCTATAGAATGTATCATACAGGAAGGTTTGTGAGTACAGAGCAGTGCAGTTCAATAGAACTTTCTGTGATGATGAAAATATTCTGTATCTGCCCGGTCCAATATGATAGCCACTAGCCCTACATCGTGATTGAGCACTTGAAATGTAACTAGTGTCAAGTGACTGAGGAAATGAAACTCTAATTTCACTTAATTTTAATTAATTTCAATTTAAATAGCCACATGTGGCTAGTAGCTACCAGATTGAATAGAGCAGATACAGAAGAGCAAACAACAGTGAGAAAGGAGGCTGGAAAAGTGGGGTCCAGATCTGGAAAAATTTTGAGAAGTACATTAATAATAATAGATGTTATCTTGAGACCCACAGAGAATCTTGAAAGGGTTTTAAGTTCCAGGGAATAACACAATCACATATAAGTTGTTTGTTTTTTGTTTTTGTTTTTATTTTTATTTTTGATATGGAGTCTCACTCTGTCACCCAGGCTGGAGTGCAGTGGCATAATCTCAGCTCATTGCAACCTCCGCCTCCCAGGTTCAAGCAATTCTCCTGCCTCAGTCTCCTGAGTAGCTGTGATTATAAGCTTGCACTACCACACCCAGCTAATTTTTGTATTTTTAGTAGAGATGGAGTTTCACCATATTGTCCAGGCTGGTCTCGAACTCCTGACCGCTTGATCCATCCATCCGCCTCAGCCTCCCAAAGTGCTGAGATTACAGTCATAAATCGTAGAAAGATAATTCCAGCTGTCTTGGGGAGAAAGATGGGGAGGTGGGTAGAGACACTGATCTTGTCTTTAGAAGTTTGATCTATAAGGGGAAAGACGGGAAAAGAGGCAGAAAAATGATTGGAGGATATCTCAGCGATAAAAAGAAGTGTATAATTGACCACACCCAGCCACATACAATACTCATATGTGTATTTATATACATTGCACATAGTATATGTTAACAGTAATAACCCATATTTCTTGCTTTTTTCCTAGTTGCTCACAGGGCAACTAGCCTCTTAAGCATTTCTGGGTGTCCCCAAAGGTACCTGAGCTCAGAAGTCAGTCTGTCAACAGAGTATCCATGCAGCATCCACCTTGTACATTTCACTCTGCTCTTCTCATGGTCCTCACCACTGAGGCTACTTTTGACTGTGGTCATGCCAATGATCTGAGTGCTCCCAAAGCCAGTTATTCTTAAATTGCCAGAAAGGCACTCTGTTCTCTGTGGAAGGGGGAGTAAAGCCCCCTCCTAAGAAACCTAAGATATAATTCTTGGCTAATCATCCCCTTTATCCCCAGAGCAGTTTCTTTATCCACGTCCTTCTGGCTTTTTTTCCCCCCCTCTAACCTCTCTAAGCCCTACCTACGGGATATGACAAAACAAAACAGAATGACAAAATAAGTCTCCAGGAACTGATGATGGTAAGCTGCTATTGGGTCTCTCCTAAAGAATTTTGTTTCCCCTTTCTAGAAACCAATGCAGACGTGTGCATGCACATTACATCCCCCACCTCTTTTCTGGCACACACCACACAAAGGCACATACACTGTATGCACAAAGACATCTTCATCTCCTAGCACTTCAGGGGATATTCCCATACAAGGCTGAATTCACTTTGGGATGAGCCAGCACCATCCCTATTCCATGTATGTTTCTGCAAAAGAAATGGACAAAGGAGTACCTCAGCAATCACAGCTCAACAGTCAGATATAATAATACTAAGCATGGAGTTGGAGCAATAGCGTGGCATAAAGTGAAGTGCATGGACCCTGGTGCCAGCCTGACCTGGATTCAAATCTCACCCTGGTCACGTTTACTAACTGGGTGGTCTTGCACAGATCACTTAAGCACTCTGAACTTGTTTTCAACTCTATAAATACCATCTCTTTGGAGGGCTATAAAAATTAAAAATCGCACAGGCGCAGCGCCTGTACCTAGAAGGTGCTCAATAAATGAAAGCTGCTGTTACTACATTGGTGTTGGAAGCTCGGGATGCCACTTGTGAAGGGGGCACGGAAGAAAGTTCAGACTGCCACCATACCCTGAGGGCTCATCTAGTATAATTCCCTCATTTTATGGTTGAGGACGCTGAAGCCAGAGATAGGAACAGACTTGGTCAAGGTCACACAGCAAATCAGTAACAGAGCCGGGTCAAGATTCCAAGTGTCTCTGGAAAGATGCTTGGAGTGCTCCTTTCTGCAGCTCCTATTATCCTCTGATATGACAATGTGTACTCCTATTCTGCCCCTGGGGATGTCCCCTCAATGGATGGGCACGAGAAAGAGCAGATGAGGTGTTTGTGGTGAAGCCCAGGCCAGTACAGCCATCCCCGTCGCCATGGCAACCCCAGCTCGATTAGGGAGTACTCGCTCCTCTGGCGCCCCCTCCCATTCACGCAGCGGACGTGACACGTGCGGCGGGGTCACGTGTTGTTGTTGGGCCGGGAAAGCTGCTTCCGGGTCAATGCAGGACACTGGGCTCCGGCGGCCAGATTTGGGGTCTAGGTGAAGCGGAGCCGGGCCGGGGCCGGCCGGGAACAGGCCTGAGGCTGAGCGGCGGCGACAGCGGTGGCCGGGAGGGGGGAGGAGAGGCGCAGCCGGAGGAGCCGCCGCAGCAGCTCCCCCGCCTCCCGGGCTGAGGGGTGAGTGGAGCCAGGCCCGCCAGCTCTGCCGGGCTCTCGAGGCCCGAGGCGCTCCCCTCCGGAGCCGAGGCGCGGAGGGTCGCTCCTGCAGGGTGCTGGGATAGGACACTTGGGCAGGGGCTGAGAGCCACACGGGGCCTGTCTCGAGCAGCTGTGGGGATGGGAGACCTGCTCTGGGGCTAGAGGGAGGATGGGGCCTGCCTGGCCTGGGCTAGGGCGGAGCTGGGAGGGTCTTGGGCTGGCCTGGGCTGGGGGGTGGCCCCGGGTTGGAGGAGGGCGTGTTGGGGAGCCTGCCCGGGTTCCTGGGAGAATCCAGGCGTCTCACCGTGCCCCAGCGTGGGGGGATGGGTAGATGCCTCCTAGCTGTTAGAAGAGGGAGACGTGTCTGGGACTGCTGGGGAAATAGGAAACTTGTCTCTGAACTACTGAATCCCAGAAAAGAGGACATGTCCCCAGGGAGGTTTGCTGGGGGAAGGACTGGCATGTCTAGGCCCTTGGGACATTAGGCCTGCTCTTACCAGGGCTGATAAAAGGATGTGGTAATTGAATAAGGGCTTTTGGGATAAAAGATTTGCGCCAAGGTTGGGAGACTGAGAACGAGGGTGTTGGAATAAGATGGGGACTGACAGGAGGGTGCTGGGATCTTGGGGGAAGTAAGGATCTGTGTGGAGCTTCTCTGTTGAGTTCTAGGTCTTCTAGTAGGAAGACATTTTGGGAATTGGTGAAGAGAGGAGATTTAATACTGTCTTTTCTTGGAACACGGTGATTCCAGAAGTTGTAGTTGAGGAAAGTTGGTTGGAAGTGTTGAACTGTATACAGTCAGTGGAGGAAGGAGGAGCTCTACTCTGAAGGTTGCTAGGCTACAAAGAACTTATAGGCAACGCCTAGGGCTGCTGAGAGAAGCTGGCAATGCTTTCAAGTCCAAATACAGGCTGAGCTGGGGCTTGTCCCTGGTTCACGTCATGCTGCTGTGGAGCTCTTAAGTTAGTTTCCAGTAGTCTATCTTGAGCAAGGAGTATGAATAGGCGCCGAGGACTGAGGAAAACCTGTCTCTTATACACATCTAGATGTGTATAAGAGACAGGTCTTGCACAGATCACTTAAGCACTCTGAACTTGTTTTCAACTCTATAAATACCATCTCTTTGGAGGGCTATAAAAATTAAAAATCGCACAGGCGCAGCGCCTGTACCTAGAAGGTGCTCAATAAATGAAAGCTGCTGTTACTACATTGGTGTTGGAAGCTCGGGATGCCACTTGTGAAGGGGGCACGGAAGAAAGTTCAGACTGCCACCATACCCTGAGGGCTCATCTAGTATAATTCCCTCATTTTATGGTTGAGGACGCTGAAGCCAGAGATAGGAACAGACTTGGTCAAGGTCACACAGCAAATCAGTAACAGAGCCGGGTCAAGATTCCAAGTGTCTCTGGAAAGGTTCAGCCCAATGCTCCTTTCTGCAGCTCCTATTGTCCTCTGATATGACAATGTGTACTCCTATTCTGCCCCTGGGGATGTCCCCTCAATGGATGGGCACGAGAAAGAGCAGATGAGGTGTTTGTGGTGAAGCCCAGGCCAGTACAGCCATCCCCGTCGCCATGGCAACCCCAGCTCGATTAGGGAGTACTCGCTCCTCTGGCGCCCCCTCCCATTCACGCAGCGGACGTGACACGTGCGGCGGGGTCACGTGTTGTTGTTGGGCCGGGAAAGCTGCTTCCGGGTCAATGCAGGACACTGGGCTCCGGCGGCCAGATTTGGGGTCTAGGTGAAGCGGAGCCGGGCCGGGGCCGGCCGGGAACAGGCCTGAGGCTGAGCGGCGGCGACAGCGGTGGCCGGGAGGGGGGAGGAGAGGCGCAGCCGGAGGAGCCGCCGCAGCAGCTCCCCCGCCTCCCGGGCTGAGGGGTGAGTGGAGCCAGGCCCGCCAGCTCTGCCGGGCTCTCGAGGCCCGAGGCGCTCCCCTCCGGAGCCGAGGCGCGGAGGGTCGCTCCTGCAGGGTGCTGGGATAGGACACTTGGGCAGGGGCTGAGAGCCACACGGGGCCTGTCTCGAGCAGCTGTGGGGATGGGAGACCTGCTCTGGGGCTAGAGGGAGGATGGGGCCTGCCTGGCCTGGGCTAGGGCGGAGCTGGGAGGGTCTTGGGCTGGCCTGGGCTGGGGGGTGGCCCCGGGTTGGAGGAGGGCGTGTTGGGGAGCCTGCCCGGGTTCCTGGGAGAATCCAGGCGTCTCACCGTGCCCCAGCGCGGGGGGATGGGTAGATGCCTCCTAGCTGTTAGAAGAGGGAGACGTGTCTGGGACTGCTGGGGAAATAGGAAACTTGTCTCTGAACTACTGAATCCCAGAAAAGAGGACATGTCCCCAGGGAGGTTTGCTGGGGGAAGGACTGGCATGTCTAGGCCCTTGGGACATTAGGCCTGCTCTTACCAGGGCTGATAAAAGGATGTGGTAATTGAATAAGGGCTTTTGGGATAAAAGATTTGCGCCAAGGTTGGGAGACTGAGAACGAGGGTGTTGGAATAAGATGGGGACTGACAGGAGGGTGCTGGGATCTTGGGGGAAGTAAGGATCTGTGTGGAGCTTCTCTGTTGAGTTCTAGGTCTTCTAGTAGGAAGACATTTTGGGAATTGGTGAAGAGAGGAGATTTAATACTGTCTTTTCTTGGAACACGGTGATTCCAGAAGTTGTAGTTGAGGAAAGTTGGTTGGAAGTGTTGAACTGTATACAGTCAGTGGAGGAAGGAGGAGCTCTACTCTGAAGGTTGCTAGGCTACAAAGAACTTATAGGCAACGCCTAGGGCTGCTGAGAGAAGCTGGCAATGCTTTCAAGTCCAAATACAGGCTGAGCTGGGGCTTGTCCCTGGTTCACGTCATGCTGCTGTGGAGCTCTTAAGTTAGTTTCCAGTAGTCTATCTTGAGCAAGGAGTATGAATAGGCGCCGAGGACTGAGGAAAACATTCACCCTTTGGGTCCTGAGCAGCGTTAGACCCAGATCCCTAGGGTGGTAACTTTCAAACTTAAAAAAAAAAAAAAAATCATGCCCCCCACAGTATTAAGTATGGCTTACATTCAGATCTAGTACATGCCTAGGTATGAAGGGAAACTCACAAAGCAGTATTTACCTTTATTACATATGATGTGTTCTGCTAATTTCTATTATATTCCACCCTCTTGCATTAAAAAAACCTGCTGGCTGACATTTACTAAATTGATGATTTGTGGGTCACAACTTGCAGTTTGAAAAACACTGAAAAGCGCATTTATTTGGCTTCAGCGTCCTCATTCTGTAAGCTTCTGAAGAGCAGGGATGATTCTAAAAAGATGGATTTTTTTTTGGGTGGGGGAGAGGGAGGGCAGCTAGGTGCAATTGATTGCTTCGGTTTAGACGTTTATACCACATAGCATATTTGACCTGTGTTTTCTGAAGTACCATAATCTTGATCTTCAATATCTGAAAGTTGTCAGATCATTTGATTGATGAAATTTTGTGTATGCTTGTGTGTTTTAGTTTTCTCTATCCTTTGCTGTGTCTGAGAAATGTGAGAGGCCTAGTTCCACTTAGTTGCTTTATCGCCACAACATAGTTAAAGAAATGTTATTTTACTGTTCCAATGTTGTGAAGATACACTGATTTTCTTTTCTGCCATTTAGAAACATCCCAAATTCTTCTTACTCCAGTAATATGATATACTTTTTGTTACATGATGAAAATTATGTGAAAAATACACGATAAAATATATACCAAAGCCATAGACATATATAAAAGCCTTACAGTCTGTGACTTTGGTATATATTTTAAACTTAATCATCAACCTAAGTATATCTTTGAATCAGTTAACATCTTAATTCCCCTTACAAAAATTTTAGGTGGGGTCCTTAGAAAAATGGTATTAATTCATAATAAACATTAATGACTGTTAGTGAACAAAGTGAGAGTCCTTCATGTAATGTTAAATGTTGTAATGTTAAAGTCTTTTGAAAAGTTTTTACACAGCCTATTGCTGCAGGACATTGAGTGTCAAAGGATGTTGTCTAATTTCAGTAGGTACACAGGGTATGTATTTAAGACCAGTTTAATAGCGTTTCTTTTTGTTGAGGATGAGTTCATATTATTTGTAACATAGAATTCAAAGACACAGTCATCAGGACAGAAGTACCCAAATTACACTCAGTGGGGTCACACTCTTGATCAAATGCTTTATGAAAACATTCTGTCACCTTCAAACTTTGTGTGTTATAAATCTTCCTTGCCTTTAATTGTTTCTTAGGTACTGGTAGAGGGGTTATGCTGGCATATATCAGCTGTCCTTTAAAAATGACCTCTTAATCAGGGAAATATTGTTTGTTTTAAAATACTTAACTTTAATGAATGTTTAAAGAAGACTTTCTTTTGTGGTAGGTGCCTGGAAACATTAAGGAAGATTCTTATTTATATCATTTTTCTGGGAATCGTGTACTTGTCAATAAGCAGTTATGGAGAAGTGACCCTGAGTGATTGTGTGTGCTTTTTAATAGTTTTGTTTCTTCTTTGATCCTTAGACTCTTAAGCATGTCCACCTGTAGCAGGCTCTTTTCCCCTTCTAATTTTTGCTTCCAAACTACTATGGTTTTGAAAATCAGATGCTTATATTTGTTATATAATACTTTTTTTTTTTCTTTTCTTAGTGTGTGACATGTATGTTGGCTACTTGGAGGCCAATTTACTTAGTCCTGGGCTGTGTTTTAAATAAGTGAACTCTTTATATATTTTGGGCCTGGTTAGCTGTGTAAGAAGTAACGTGAAACTGATAGTGATACAATTTGGGCTTAAAGGGTGAAGGAATCATTTGCGATTGCTGCCTTTCTCCTACACGTGATAGTTATTAAGATTTACCATTCCTCCCTTTTTCATGCTACCTGTTCTGCCTTATTTCTTCGGGATTAGAATGGTAACAACTGGAATATTCCCTTTGTCTTTTGTTTCCATAGCTTCATGAAAGTACTCTTCCAAAGAATATCGCTATGATTATTTCATTTCCCTCCTCAAAAACCATTAGCTGCTTTCCAGTACAGGGACAGGCACTGCATAAAGCCCATAGTGGTTAGCTTGACATTTAGGGCCTTTTACAGACTTTCTCTACTTTTTTTTCTGGCATCATCATTACACTCGTAAATGCAGTTCCTCTGCCTGCCAAGGCCTCTGCTCATGTACCTTCCTTTGTGTGTAAAATTATCCCGGAAAGTCTGCATATAAAATGTTCCCTTTCTTTAAGAAATCCTACACCCTCTCATTTCATTTCAGATGACCTCTCTTCTTTGAAGTCTTTGTTGCTTATGTTGTCTGTACTATTTTTGCTATATTGCTTTGTATTATTTGTGCACCTTATTTTTATCCCTTTTAGATTATAAATGCCTAGTGAGCACGAGGCTCAAATACCCATGAATCACTAGGACATCTAGCACAGGGTCTACCAGAGCATAGTTCATAGACCAAGTAGTTCAGAATTGACTGAACATATGGTTAAAAATGCAGATCCGGCAAGGCATTGTGGCTCACACGTATAATCCCAGCACTTTGGGAGGCTGAGGTAGGAGGACCGCTTGAGTCCAGGAGTCGAAGTCACCTGGGCGACGTAGGGAGACCCATCTCTATGAAAAATTTAAAAATTAGCCAGGCATAGTGGTACATGCCTGTAGTTGCAGCTGCTTGAGAGGCTGAGGCCAGAGGATCACTTGAGCCCCAGAGATTGAGGCTTCAGTGAGCTGTGATTATACCATTGCACTCCAGCCTGGGCAAGAGGAGTGAGGCACTGTTTAAAAAAATAAATAAAATAAAGCAGATCTAACCTAGACTTACTGAATCAGAATCTCTGGTGGAATCTAGGAATCTGCATTTTATCAATCTGCCCAGATGATTCTTCCATACAGTAAAAGTTAAAAGTAACTGACTTAACATGATGCTTTAAATTGCAGTAGGCACTCATATTTTTCAGCAAGTGATGTTAATAAACTGAGCAATATCATAGTTCTGCAAACTGGTTTAATTTTAGGACCTTGAAGTCAGCCTAGATTTGAGACCTGGCTCTGTCACTAGCTCTGGGCCCGTAACCTCTCTGCTTCAGTTTTCTGATCTGCAAAATGGGTAATAGTACCCCTTATAAAAGTGTTGTGGTAACTGGGTGAGATAATACATATAAAACAACACAGTACACAACACATAGTAAACTTATGATAGATTTTATCTGCTGTCATGATGATGCCTAGCACAACAGTGGTCACCAGAGTAATTAATAAAGCATCGTGAGGAGAGGTTCCAGGTCAGTCATTGTTAATACACAAATTGCTCATATGGTTTTAAGAACTAAAGCTTAAAACATTTTCTGTTTTACATTAACAGATTGTGGCCCTATGTGGTGTTTAAAGTCATAAAGATGTTTTGCCGTCTTTAGAAGAATTGGTGTCAAATTAGCATGTCCCCTTCATCTTCCCACTGATGGAAGAATAAAGTGCAAACTTTCGAATGGTGGACCTTAGCCCCTTACCGTGTGGCCCTACCAATTCTTTATTTTCTAGCCGTCCTCCCACATATACTCTACACCAACTACACTACATTTCTCACTTTATTTTGCATCTCTCACTCATTTGTATTTGTGCACATGCTTTCCTCTTCTTTTCATCTAGTAAATTCCTGCTGCTGTCTTGTAAAACTCAGTTTTACATGTGACTGACCTCCTTAGTGAAGATAGTCACTCCCTCAGTGTTCTCAAAGTCCTTCGTCCATACTTATTTATATATTACCTTTGTGTACATTTGTCTTTTTGGAGGGAAAACGATTTAATCCTGGCATGTATTCCCACTTCTGCCAAAAGGGGAGGATGTTTGTTTATTTGACTCATATCAGCTCCTCCATTTGTCTGGACGTCTCAGCTTT